TTATGTATTTAATTTTTTTTTCCAGAATTTAAAAGTTTTAACATTTTCTTTAATTAAAATGTTTATTTTATGTGTCTTTTCAATGATTTTTTTTTTTTTTGTTCAAAAAGTGTAGTCATTCAAACAAAAAATTTTGCGTGTTTAAGTTGTATTATTTGGAATTTGTTGTTGCCAAAACAAAATATATATAAATTATTAATATTTTAATGGCTTTAAAGTGTTATAAATTATAAAAAAAAAGAAATTTAATAAAATAAATTAAAGAAATTTATTAAAAAGTTTATTAACTTTTGTGGGGATTTTGAAAAACAAAACACTTTAGTAAAGTTCAAATATAGTCAAGATCTGACTATATTTGAGACTGTAGATCAGTCTATAATTGAGGATATTGTTTGAACTATAGTTGAGTATGAAGTTTAAACTAAAGACTATATTATCAAATAGATATAAATCAGTCTATAGTCGAGACTTAAGAGCAAAGTATAGATCAGACAATAGTCGAGACTATAGATAAGATCAAAGACTGCAGATTAAACTATAGACGAGAATGATCAAGCTGTAGATCAGACTTTAGTGAAGACTATGGACTAAACTATAGTGGAGACTAATGGTCAAAGTGGTGACTGCAGATCATACTATAATTTAGTATGAAGATCAAACTGCAGATCAGACTATAGTGGAGACTGCAGATCATACTATAGTTGAGTATGAAGATCAGACTATAGTAGAGATCAAACTAATTATAGTCGACACTATAAATGAGGCTATAATGGAGACTATAGATCAAATTATAATCGAGACTAATGCTCAGAGTATAGTCGAGCTATAAATCTATCTATAGTCAAGACTTAAGATCAAACCATAGTCGAGACATACATCAAATAGGCGAGAATAATCAAACTGTAGGTCAGACTATAGAAAAAGCTTTAGACTAAACTATAGTTTAGACTAATGATCAAACTATAGTCAAGGCTATAGATCATACTATAGTTAAGTATGAAGATCAAACTAGACTAGATCAGACTATAGTAGCGATTAAACTACATATAGTCGACACTATATATAATCGAGACTAATGATCAGACTATAGTCGAGCTATAAATCTGTCTATAGTCAAGACTAAAGATCAAACCATAATCGAGACTATACATCAAATAGACGAGAATGATCAATATTTAGATCAGACTATAGTGAAGACTATTAACCAAACTATAATTGAGACTATAATCGCGCTATAAATCTGTCTATAGCCGAGACTAAAGATGAAACCTTAGTGGAGAATAGTCAAGTCAAGACTGTAGATCAAACTATAGACAATAATGATCAAACTGTAGATAAGACAAAAGTGAAGGCTAAAAACCAAACTATAGTCGAGACTAATGATTAAACTACAGTCCATGCTATTGATTAGACTATAGTGGAAACTATAGATCAAACTGAAGATCAAACTACATATAATCGACAATACAAATAAAACTACAACGGATACCGTAGATTAAGCTATACTAGAGACTACAGATCATACTGTGGTCGAGACTATAGATCATGGAGACTCTAGATCAAGAAACAGACGAGATTCAGTATGAAACTTTAGTCGAAAATATAGATCAGACTATAGTAGAGACTAAAGAGTCTTAAGCAAACCCAAACTATAGATCAGACAATAATCGCGGCTATAGATCAGACTATATTCGAAACTTTACATCATACGAAAATGATCCAAGTGTAGATCAGACTATTGTCGAGACTCTAGATTAAACTATAGTCGAGACTAAAGTTCAATCTATAGTCGAGGCTATAGATCGGACTATAGATTAATCTATAGTCGAGACTTTAGAACAGAAGGATTGTAGAACAATCTACATGCGAGACTTTGGTGAAGATTGTAGATCAATCTACAGTCGGGGCTATATATCTGAGTATCGATCAATCTATAGCGAGAATTTAGTGAATAATTGTAGATCAATCTATAGTCCAGGCTATAGATCAATATTCATATAGACAACACTATGATGGGTATTATAGATCAAACTTCATTTAAGAGAACATGGTTAAAAAAAGACTAAAGTCTAGAAAACAGATTAAACTATGCAAGATTAAAGATCAGACTGTAATCAAGATTATACATTAATCTAGTATCGAGAATTCTTAGAATGTTAACTGTAACCATATTTTTTCTCCGTGTGTACATTTTTTTATAATAATTCTTTAGAAAAACTTTAATATATCAAAAGGCGCCTTTATGTTTTGTTAAATATATTTTCAAAACAACAAAAATATTTCTTCAAAATTGTTATTTTCTTAGTATAGAATTTCAAACCAATATGCAAAATTAAAAAAAAAAGAGAAGAAAACATGTCTGCTTTTAACTAATAAATCTTTAAAAAAAAAAATAAAAATTGTCATAAATAAATGGCCCATTAAAATTAAAAGCAAAAGTATTCAATCTCTTTATTTTTCATTAAATAATACATAAAACTAAAATTTGTTTGCAAAAACAAAACACAACAAATATTAACATTGACCGAACGACCACCAACCAAAAAACAGCATCCAGAGAGACGTAAAAAAATGCCCCACGACCAAAACATATTCAATTTTCACGCAAATTATTTTAGTGTTTTTTTATTTAGATTTTTTTTTTTTCAAATTTATAATTTCAACAGTTGTTTTCAATTTCGTGTATTGGCGATGATGATGGGTTGGTGGCGGCGACGGCGTTGATCGCGTGCAAATTATCAAAATTCGTTGATCAGTTCAAGCGGTATTCGCCTTAATAATAAACAACTTTTGTTGTGTGTTAAAAAAAATATATTGAGAAAATTTGTATAGTAAACTTAAACACAACAATCATAATAATTGTTAATTGATAATAATTATAATAACAAAAAAATAGCAAAAAAATAAATAAATGAAAAAACACCAAATGGCTTAGAAATTTATCTAAGGAAAAATCTAAAGAAAAGCAATAAAATTATAACAATTAAAATTGTTTTGTTATAAAAATAATTTTGAAGTGTAATGTTTTGTGTCTAATGATCTAAAAATTAAGACACGCTAAAATTAAAAACCAGCTGTTTTGAAAAGAAATAATAAAAATATAAGCGAATTTTCTACGCAAAAATATACAAGAAACACATGTTAAAAAACGCGAAAGTTATAAGAATTGTTTGTTATAACTAGCAACATGCCTAAACTATTTGATTGTTTCAATCAATTAAGGTAATTTTCTTTGGTATTTAATAAAAATTTGAAATATATAAAAATTACAAGGGGCAGAACAAAATAAACGGCATTAGAAACTTAAGAAATGCGGTAATGTTTATTTAAAATTTATATTTTGTTTCAAATTATGAACAATTTTTAACAAAATTGCCCAAATCTGTTAAAATTCTTCTGAAGCGCATTCTTAATTTTTCATTAAAGACAAAAACCGTCTAAATTGTTTAAGTTTTAAACTCTTAAACAAAAAATTAGAAAAGTGAACTTTTAGAAAAGTACCAGCAACAAAGTACCATTTCCCTAAACTTTCATACAAATATTTCAATATTTCTCTATATTTTAATTAATTAGTTTAATTTTTAATTAAATTTTTGAATAAAAATATCCAAAAATTTGACCTTTGACCTCGTTAGTAAAAGAATTTACATTTTTTGCAAATTTATTTTAAAAATTTGTTTAAAAATCTAAATTTTTAAAAACCCTTTCGGGTTGAAAAAAAATAACAAATTTGTCTTGTAAGTTACCTAACTAAACCTTAAGTGCTGCTTTTTTTGCTATAGGGTACACACATTAACAAAAATAAATGCCATCATTTTTATAAATAGTCTGTATAGATTTTCCTCATTAGAATTTAAAATACTACAGGCAAAGACAAAAACAAAAAAATAAAAATATTATTTATTTGTGAAAAAACGTCATATGTGTATAAATTTTCATGAAATTGAAACAAAAAAACAATCTTTAAGATGTTTTGCGAAATATTTTTGTTAATGATATTATTTTATACAAAATTTTTTTTTTATCTGGCTTTTTGCTCAAGAGTTATTTTTTATTATTTGTTTTCATTTTTATTTCTTTATTTATTTAAATATAAATAAACAATTTCTTATGCTTAACAGGTGTTAAGTTCCCCCTCTGCTTTAGTGGCAGGTTTCAATTTCAGAGTATACAATTTCCTTTGTTTCCCTTTCAAAATTATGAAGTCTTTCTTGCTCTTACGTTTTTTTTATAATGCAATTTTGCATTCCAAAGTGTAAGTTGTTGTTATTATTGCTTTTGTTCCCGGTATACAAATATTTTGCACACATAAAACCCCAAAGCCACTAAGTTCAAGTTTACGTAAAAATTCCAAAATGTTACAGCTCAGTGCTTTATTCATGGACCGCAACGCCTGTTTTGTTGTTTGCTTTTGCTCTCTCTTCTTTCTAAATTTTATATATAATATTATTTTTGCATTATTTGCAGAACACAAACAACATTTGACAATTTGTAAAGTCATTGTTCTAGAATATATGGGGTTTAAGAAATTTCAATCAATATATTCATATGTATATCTCCCATATACATCTCTATTTATCTTGGCTTCTAAGACAATTCAGGTCATTTGTGTTGTGTTTCTTTCAGTTTTGTTTATTTTATGTCCCCATTTTTGTATTGTTTTCAAAATGACATCATTGCTATTGGCTTATAAACAACCCCTCTGGGTTTAGAACAGGACCAGGCGATACATTAATATATACAATTGTAACCTCATTTTAGTTTTAGCTAATTGAGTTTTCCATTTAATTTTATTAAATATATTACCACATGTTTCCTGCTACTTGTTTCTTTTTTTAGCACGAAATGTTTAAATATTCATAAGAATATATAATATAATTTGTATAATTTTTTTCTTTTTATTTAATTTTACCCGCACCATTCATGTTATTAGATTTATAACTTTAACAGTGCTATATTTTTAAATTAGTTGGGTTAGGTTGGAATAAGGTGACACTTACAAAATTGAGACAAATTATTTAATGTTATCCAATTCCTCGACAGCTCTGAAATGAGAAATATCATTAGTAATTTTATAAAAACACAATTTTATAGAAATCAATACCTGTTATATAAAATTTTCAAATTTCAATATTTTTCAAATTTTGTTAAACAAATTGTAAGAAATTTAATAATTTTCTCCAAAATTTTGTTAATTATATATAACAGTTTAAAACCCAAAAAGATTTAAGTTGACAACTCTAATAGTTTGAGAGTTAACGACGACTTGAAGTTGCCTCTTTTAAAAATCTTTTGATGTAATAGTTTAGTTAATATTTTTTAAAATTTTGTTAAACAAATTTCAAAAATTTTGTTAAATTTCTTTAGAATTTTGTTAAGTGTACATAAGAGCATAACACACAAATAATTTAATCAATAACTCTTATAGGTCACCTCCCTTGAAGTCAGAAAAGCTAAAACTCATTTTATAACGTTTTAAAAACTTGAATAATAGTATTTCTGAAATATTGTTCAACGATTTCTAAAAATTTTGAAATTTTTATCCAAAATTTTACTATGAATATACAAGAGCAGAAAATCCAGAAATAATTAAGTCAATAACTCGAATAATTTGACCTCAACAACGATTTGAATTGAAATATTTTAGTAAACTTTTTAAAGTAACAGTTTAATGAATATTTTTAAAATTTTATTAAACATATTGCAAAACTTTCAATTATTTTTTATAGAATTATGTTTATAATATAAATAAATAAAATGGGAAAAAATAAAGGTCAAAGGTCAAACTTTTTAATATTTTTTAATAAAATATTTCACATATTTTAAAAATTTATTAATAGATTTCAAATAAATCATGTTTGAAGGAGGTTTTTCTATGATTCTTAAATGATTTTACAGAAATTGGCCAGCTTTAACTCTTATGTTACTTAGGGGGGTCAAAAGGTCAAACTTATGGAATGTTAGTGAAAAAAGAAAATAAACTTTAACAATTAGGAAAACTTTTTGAAATTTTAAAAATTAAAAAAAAAAACTCTAAACATGATAATTTTATTATTAAATTAGTGTTTAAGTTAATTTTTAAACTCAATGATCTCTCCAGTGACATTTCTGTCAGTGACATCTATAAAGGGTGTAAGGTTTTTTTGACATTTAACAGTTTTGTTAATATTTGAAACCATAATTTTATTTTACTATTAAATATGATGATTTGAAAGAAAGTTTTAAGTAAAAAAAAAAAACTAAAAACACATAAAACACAATTGTTTTACATTACAAATTTTGAAAGTACATTTAAACATACATTTTTAATACAAAAAAAAAAAAAAAAAGAGACAAAATATTTACACACAGGAATCTGATATGAAAACATCAAATGATTTTTAAATGTTTTGATCGTGCTTTGGCTTTAAGTGATTTTGATTTTAAATGAAAGTCTCTGCAATGTTTTATAAATGAAGAAAATATATTAAAAAAAAACATTTAAAAATTGTTTAGAGAAATTCAAGTGTTAGTATGCATTCTGTTAAACAGTTTTTAAACATATTTTTAAACAATATTAAATAAGGCCTTTAAGGCATTTTTTTAAACAAAATTTGCATTTAATTGCTAGTGCTGGTCAAAGTTGTTTTAGTTACAGTTTACTGCCAACTAGTGCTAGTTGCTGTAATTTTTCTGTTATCAATTTTTAAAAATCATTTTCTTGTAAAACATAATAACGTTAACAAGTTGAAGTTTTTGAAATATTAAAATTTCGTCATATGGTTTTCATTATAATATGATTAACAAGAACATGTTAAAAAAGAGAAAAAATTAAATGTTTTTAGACAAAAATAACATAAAATTTCTTGTAAAATTATTAAAGCATAACATTTTGATGATGAGGGCTTTGTTAGGGTTTTGAAAATATGATTTTGTTTAAATACCAAATCCTTTTAAAAAACATTAATTGCAATTTCTGGTTTCGTTATAATTAATATTAAAGTGAAATGAGTCTTAATGGTAAAAATAATAAAGATTACTTTTTTGTTTCATTATAACCCATGTGTTTTTTCTTCATTAAATTCCAGAAATCTTTTCTATTCAATTTTTAATTTTTTTTTCTAAGCACTACAACACTTCCCGTTTTTTTTTTTTTAAAGATCTTTAGAAAGTGAATTAAATAGATCAATTGTTGTTTTTATGTATGTGTATGACCCACATACAATTAATTACTTTAAAACGATCGGTAGTTGTTGTTATTTTGATTGAATACTTAAATAAATTCCAATTTATTTCTTTAAGTAAAATTCTCTACATTAAAGCACGTATCAAAAATTACAACACAAAAACAGACATAAAAAAGGAAAATCTATATTCTTAAAGTAAGACCAAAAACAGAACATCTGTCTGTATTTCTTATACCATAAGACTGGTTGATGTTGGTTGATGTCTAAACGATAATTCTGTTTAAGTAGCAGATGTTAATTCTAATATTATATTCTTAGCAGAGAGTGAGTGCATTTGTTTTTTTTAAAGACCTGCTGCACATGCCATTTTTTCTATTTGATTCTTTTTTATTGTCAATTTAAAACAACAAACAAAGTTATAAAAAAAAAACTGTACAAATATATGTTTTATCACTTAGGAGACGAGCCCCTGCTGTTTTTCTGTACCCTCCATTATATTATTCAAAATGTTTTAAACCCCTTTCACAGTTAAATTTATAAGAAAAAAACGAGAGTGCTACAAGGTACAGTTGTACATCATTTTTCTACTGCAAAAGTGACCCCTATATGTCAGTTAATTTCGTAATAAGTCATCTATCTAGCTTAACGAAGTTTCCAGAAAGTTGGTATTAAATATAAAGCATTTTCAAAACTTAAATTTCAATATTTTAAAAATTTTGTTAAAAAAATTTCAAGATTTTTAAAAATTTACTTTAAGAATTGTTTAAGAATATATCGTAAAATAAAATCCAAAAAGAATTAGTTCTATAACTCTAACAGTTTTTTAACAGCGATTTGAACTGAAATATTTTAAAATAATTTTTAAAGTAAATAAATAGTTTAGTGAAAAATGTTTAAATTTCATTAAACAAATTCCAAAAATTTTAATAATTTTCTTAAGGATTTTATAAAGAATATATAAAAGAATAAAATCCAAAAAGAATTAAAGCTTTAACTCACATAGGTCAACTCCCTTAAGGCCCAAGAAGCTAAACAAATTTTCGAATATTTTTACTATATTATTAAACGATTACCAAAAATATCGAAATTTATCATCAGGATTTGGTTAAAAATATATAAAAGAATTGAATCCAAAAATAATTAGTTCAATAACTCCAATAGTTTGGTCCTAACAACGATTTGAACTAAAATATTTGAAAAACACTTTTAAAATAATAGTTTAGTCAATATTTTTAAAATTTTATTAAAAAAAATTTTTAAAATTTTGATAATTTTTACTAAAATTTTGTTAAGAATATATAAGAAAACAAAATCTGAAAATAATAAACATATTAGCTCCCATAGGTCACCCCCCGTAAGGCCACATAAGCTATAACTTTTTTAATAACGTTTTCAAAATTTAAATTTCAATATTTTTAAAACTTTGTTAAACAAATTCTAAAAACTTAAACAATTTTCTTTACAAATTTGTTAAGAATGTATTAGAGAATAGAATTTCATAAAAATTAGTTCTATAACTCTTATAGTTTGGTCCTAACAATGATTTGAACTGAAATATTAAAAAAAAATCTTTCAAAGTAATAGTTTAGTCAATATTTTTTAAAATTTCGTTAAACAAATTTTTAAAATTTCGATAATTTTCTTTCGAATTTTATTAAAAATATATAAGAGAACAAAATCTGAAAATAATAAAAGTTTAACTCCCATAGGTCACCTTCCATAAGGCCACATAAGCTATAACTTTTTTATAATGTTTTCAGAATTCGAATTTCAATATTTTTCAAATATTGTTAAACTATTATTACGAATATATTAAAGAATAGAATCCACAAAGAATTAGTTTAATAACACTAATAGGTTTGGTTTAACAGCGATTTGAATTGAAATATTTTGAAAAAATCTTTTTTAGGGCCATATTATGATCAAAATGACATAATTTTAATATCAGACTCACCTAACAAAGTATAACTATTAATATTTCAACCTTAGAAGATCCGGGGATTTAATAAGAAATATTTTATTCAAAATATATCATTTTAAATCTGTAGATCTCAGTTGAACAAGGGTTAAAGCTTTTTGATTTCAGCATATATCTTCTAGAAATTAAATAGTAGTATTCCTAGAAGCTATAAATGCTAAAGTTTATACTGAAATCGAAAAGCTTTAACCCTTGTCCAACTAAGTTCTTGGGATTTAAACTGATATATTTTGAATAAAATACTTTTTTATTAAAAATTGAATTACTTTGTCGGATAAAACAGCTAAAATATTAAAACTAATTCCGTGTGAAATATACAAAGAAGTTTGTACTATAAACGGGAAACTTTAAGCCTTATATAGCTAAGGTCAAAGGTAAAACATTAGAATAGTTATTATATAGATATGTATTTAGTCTTGAATTATTATAAAATTAGTTTTGAGTAGTAGTCAAACTAGTAGAGTCTTAACCACCCACCAAGAACCAATTACCGCACTAGTGCTTTACTAGTTCTCTGCCTACTTGTTAAACTAGATTTATTTAAATTTTTTTATAAAAAAATTTATTATTTTTATATTTTGTTTAGTTTGGCTAATATTTCGAAATAATGATTTAAATACTTTTATTAACATTTTGATGGTATTATTTTATTATTGTTGTTGTTGTTGTCGCATCTGTTATGCATTCGAGCGTTACAAAAAAAAAACTGAATATAATAAAACACAAAAGCCGCATAATGTTTAACACAAAAAACAGGCCTATGAAACGAAATTTTATAAAAAAAATATATAAAAATTTTAACAAACGCTGAAATCATCATCAACATCATCATCATGATGTGTAAAGAATGCAAGTGATTAGCTAGCTTGCAGTCAGCAAACAACGAGAGCCAGTTGAACAG